TGACTATGTTATGATTGCGCTAGTAGTGGCGTGTGTGTGTGTGTGTGAGTGCAGTCACACTTAAACATGTTGATAATATATATGTGATGTAAACTACAAATGGAAATCAAGATTGTAGATGAAATCTAGTTTTAGGAAGAAATATTCAGCAAATTACACCCAAAGAAAATTAGTGGATCATCAAAGATATTAAGTGAAGTTCATTCAGATATTTCAGGGTCTAATATAATTACGTGAATTTTAGCAGGTGGACGAACCAACTCAATTTATTCGAGTCGTTACTGAATATATGCTTATCATTTACGTTGGCTATAGCGAAGATATCCAGCTAATTCATAAATCTGATTATTAGTTAATTTGTTTTTTCGCGTGAAAATACAGTTCATTACTTCGCGGCCATACAAATAATAATAAGAAGAATGATAATAATATTAATAATAAATGGTCAAAATTATCCTTCGAACCGGATTCGAACCAGTGACCTATGGATGTCCGCTTCTCAACCAACTACAGTCCACCGCTCTACCAACTGAGCTATCGAAGGAGCTGACAACCACAGACACCGCTTCCAGCTTTCCCTTCCTCGGCCTCGCCTCCACCGTCGCGCGCCGCTCACTCGCTCCCAACGGCGACGGTTTCTTGTCCGGGTTAAGAATCCTCTGTGTTACGCTGAACGAAATGCACACTGCTAAGTACATCTGAACTACAATTAGTAATGAATTCATACTGTGCACGCAAAAGTATAGCATACTAGATTCTACTAACACGATAAAAAAAAAAAAAAAAAAAAAAAAAACGCACATTACTTACGGAAGATTATGATTACACATTTAGCATCAAGGGAAATAATCATCTAAGGAGTAAAGGTTACATGCAGAGGAAATGAACGTCTTTGCTTGATATCAAAATTCTCCCATTCATAGTGTCTAGAATTAGTCAAACGCCAAGAATCCTGGACTGTGTTGGGGAGGCCGAGGAAGGGAAAGCTGGAAGCGGTGTCTGTGGTTGTCAGCTCCTTCGATAGCTCAGTTGGTAGAGCGGTGGACTGTAGTTGGTTGAGAAGCGGACATCCATAGGTCACTGGTTCGAATCCGGTTCGAAGGATAATTTTGTTATTATGTAAGAACTTTGGGAAATGGCAACAGGGGGATAAGATTAATACATTCATATAACACATTATTTATATAACATTTCCAGCCAGGTCTGCCTTATGAACATGGTAAACGCTCTGTGGTTCTCTGCTGCAAGAGAGCCGCTTAATCCCCGAAAAAGGGCAATCTAGGGCGTGAAATACTGAACTTTACTTGCCATGAGGAGAGGGATGGTGATGATAACGATGATGGTGAGGAAGAGGAAGAGGTGCTGGTAACTAATGAGGATAATTATAAACCAAGGGATAATCTGCTCCTGGTGAAAGCTAGCGGTCACCCTTCACGAACCGAAAAGAATCGAACACAGCGAGCGCTTCTCCAATGTATTTTGTCTCCATTTTTTCCCGCCAAAAGTTTTCAATTGAGCCACAAGTCCGTCAGTCGCACTGAATTCAACAACAAGCTTTTATGAGTCCGATATTCCGGTACCAGTGTATGCATGTTATCTGAATTTACGTGATTGTATCCCTATGTATTATTATTATGGGTATTATTGGAAATGAAACACAACATCTAAAGAATCTGAGCTTACTAAGGAGTAGAACACATCATTCTATGAAAGTTTTCTTCCATACCATTTTCTTCGCAAACTGATAATAAGAAAGGGTGTAAAATCCATGCTTTCCACGATCCGCAGCAAGCTTTCTAGCGCCACGACGAAATGACAGTTAAAAGTCGTTAAAAGCGACGGAAAATCGGACGGATTTGTAGCGGATGACGTATGCGAGGGAAATTAAATAAGCTAATGAGATTCGTGCATGTACGTGACTATGTTATGATTGCGCTAGTAGTGGCGTGTGTGTGGGTGTGTTTGCAGTCACACCTGTTAACTTATACATGATATATATATATATATATATATATATATATATATATATATATATATATATATATATATATATATATATATATAAATGATGTAAACTACGAACCAACTCAATTTACTCGAGTCGTCACAATATATGCATGTCATTTACGTTGAGTATAGTAAAGAATATCAGATATCCAGCTAAGTAGATAAACCTGATTAGCATGATTTGCAATTTCGCGTAAATCATTACTTTCCGGGTATTAAAGAAAAAAAAAAAAAAAATTATTCTTCGAACCGGATTCGAACCAGTGACCTATGGATGTCCGCTTCTCAACCAACTACAGTCCACCGCTCTACCAACTGAGCTATCGAAGGAGCTGACAACCACAGACACCGCTTCCAGCTTTCCCTTCCTCGGCCTCGCCTCCACCGTCGCGCGCCGCTCACTCGCTCCCAACGGCGACGGTTTCTTGTCCGGGTTAAGAATCCTCTGTGTTACGTTGAACGAAATGCACACTGCTAAGTACATCTGAACTACAATTAGCAATGAATTCATACTGTGCGCGCAAAAGTATAGCATACTAGATTCTACTAACACGATAAAAAATAAAAAAAAAAAAAAAAACGCACATTACTTACGGAAGATTATGATTACACATTTAGCATCAAGGGAAATAATCATCTAAGGAGTAAAGGTTATATGCAGAGGAAATGAACGTCTTTGCCTGATATCAAAATTCCTCCATTCATACCGTGTCCAGAATTAATCAAGAACAAACTCCCGGACTGTGTAGGCGGGGAAGAGGAAGGGAAAGTTAGAAATAATGTCTATTGATGTCAGCTCCTTCGATAGCTCAGTTGGTAGAGCGGTGGACTGTAGTTGGTTGAGAAGCGGACATCCATAGGTCACTGGTTCGAATCCGGTTCGAAGGATATTTTGTCATTATCCCCCCCCCCCCCACACACACACCACCCACCCCTTCCCAAGTGCTGTTCGCGTTTCATCTTAAAGTGCTTATGTGAAGTAACAACTGAAAATTTTAAAAAGGGAGAATTAGCTCGGAAACCATCTCTCTAATATGAGTTGAAAAAAGGAAATCTGAAAATAATTCCCCCAATTTGATTTATTTCGATTTCCCGAAGTCAAGTTATATTTTCCCGCGAAAATCCGGAACCCGGATGTGTGACGTCAATTTCAGAACACGATCACAACATTCTCTGCATTCAATACATGGCGGACTCACTACAAGACTACAGTGGCAGTGAAATCAGTGAAGTTTCATTGGATTATTCCGACGAGGACATTAGTACAACTTCTTCAGAGGGTGCCTATGTCTTCGAAGAGTTGGAAGAAGAGGAATATCAAGGGTGAATGGTTGTTGGACCGTACATGCACGAGCCCGACGCTATGGATGTCGTGGAAGTTGTGCCAAACGAGCCAGACATGGAGTGGCGTAGAGGCCCGAAGAGATTGAATGAATGGTAATTTTCTAAATTATTTTCATAGTCGAACGTGTGATCCCGCTTCTGTATGGTACAAAATTTCTGCAGGCTGAGCTATCTCCTGTCTGCACCCGTGGCGTAGGCCTACATCCATTCGCGAGTGGAGGGGCATCGGTATTTATTTGTGTTGTGCTTTATGGGGTGTACCTACCTTACCTGTGTTGTAATACATGCACACTTGCAATGCAGTCGGCACACTGTGTCGTACCCACGCAGTGAATGTTTTCCGCCAATCAAAAGCGCTCTCTCAGAGTTTGTTTTGCGCTGTTGTGATCATGACAAACATAAATTGGAAATGGCCTACCGTTTTGCAAATCCCATGTCGTAAGCCATTCTGTTCGCAAAGCAATCGGGCTCGAAGTGTTTCAGGCAAAGTACGCTGGTTGGCACAGGCTGAAAGTTGCTCCGCTTGGCATGCACAAAACGTGTCCACTTCCTTGCTCTGTCGCGGTCTTTTGGCCATTCAAATAGCTGGTGACATGAATGGGAACAATGAATTGCTACACAACGCCGCGGCATCCTTTGTTACAAACTTTAATAGCTTGAAACAATTCCGAGATATCTTCGACTCGCGGTGCACTGTATCACGCTATTCAAGATTCTCCGTTTCTGGGAATGACGTCACAACCGGGGATTGCCGAAGACCGCCGAGTTTTGCATCTTCGTTTCTAAGGGCGTTGCTATGGGATCCTTTGGGATACCAGAGGATCTCTTCGATTTTTTTTTCTTTTCTTTTGCATGAATAGGCTCAGCATACATTATTGAACAATATTCAAAGAAAAACTAATGCACGATAATTACTTCACATATGCCCTTAATGTTAAAATGGCACGCCCGTATTATGGGCAAATGACACATTTTTCAACCATAGTATATTGTTCAAAATGTCTAGATATGATGGAATAATAAGAGACGTTTTAAGCCAGGTCTGTCGTATCTAATATGGCTTGTGTGTCTGTAACTCCCTGTCGCAAGGGCTCGACTCATTAATGCATCATTCTGCAATATACATTAGGTAAAAACATACACATGCATATGCAAACACGCGCGGGTGGATCAACCGCGTGTGTCCGATTGTCAACCTTGTTAGCCATTTCGCAGCTAATACCTTTTATGCAATCATTGAGCGCTTTTGTCTCTCCGTGACTTGTTACCATTGGCGCATTTTGCGCTGTTGCGAAGATACTCTAGAACGATGGATTTCGGGGGGGGGGGGGGGGGGAGGTAGGCCGAACAGCGAGCGTCGTGACCCTCTGGTCCGCCCACTCGCTTCTACTGATGCCAGCGACCTCACCAATGATTGGAAAGAGCTACCCTGGTAAACTATAAAGGGTGGAGGGCGTAGTAGTAATA